AAAGAGTGGAAACCTATCTTCTACCCTTTTGACATAGCAATTGTAACTATAGTTTGATATTTTACAGGTTCTTTCAGAACGATCTAATCCTGAAGTAGACAATTTTACCAAGCCACCTCCATTTTTCCCTCCAGGAGCTCCACCTACCCACCTTCCACCACCTCCTTTCCTCCCACCCCCCCCAGCTGTCAGTACTGCTCCACCTCTGATTCCCCCACCAGGTAAATATCCTGCACTACATAGGATGTGAAAAATGAGAGATGCATTATCATCAAATGCTTGATGATAATGGATTAAAGACATGCACGTTTGGCTATGTGTGCAGAATTTCAGAATCTTGTTTTCTCCTCTTTTCGTAAATGTATCTGCAAGACAGAAACAGAAACTTTTGTCTTTACTTTCTCAGTAAGCGTAATCCCAAGTAGTAAATAATTACCTAAAGACTAAATGTTGGATCTTGTGTCCTTGAAAATGTTTGAAGTGCGAAGCTGTTTTCTGTAATTCAACTACTGTTAATGCTATTGAGAGGTACATGTTAACAAATCATTCTACCAACTTTTGAACTAAAAGTATGTCATAGCATGAATTTGTCAGAAGTTGGATTCTCCGATGTCTAAACGTCAAAGCAGCAACAGAAGCTTTAATTCCCCTCTCCCCTCACAGTATGTATGAATTCCCAAAAGTCTAATAAGAATTGCGGTTGTCCCGTATCCTTTCTTTGAGTCCGAGGTCTCATTAGCACCTGATGGTTTTTATCCAGCGTCCTGTGTCTGTGAATCTTAGAGGAATCAAAGCTCTTTGAGAACTCTTCTCATTGTTAAACCTGGTCTGAAATTTACTGAATATTTACTGAAACTTGATATTTATGGAATTTATTGGGTGGAATGTCATGGGCATTTGCACAAATAGTGCAGTTACCTGAGTGTTGTCAATTTAAGGAATTAATTTCAAAAGCACTTAGCAAAGAACTAAGAATCATAGAATCGTTTAGGTTGGAAAAGACCTTTAAGATCATCCAGTCCAACCATTAACCTACGCTACCAAGTCCACACTAAACCAATCAAGGGTAGAAAGAAGAATGGTCAGTGAGAAATGAAAAGAGATGGAGAAACTTTGGGGAGTATTTGAGTAGGAAAGTGAAGGATTTGTTTATAGAAGAGACTGATTTAAGGTGGAGCCCCTTTTCCCTATTTTCTCCTTTTGTTCCTTGCATTCTTTTGCTTGACTTGTTCTGAAATCGTGCTGAGCAGTTTCTTTGCTATTCTGTTCACATAAGGGAATCTTTTAAAAGTTTTTCTGTTAATACTCTTCTGTATAAGCAAGGAAGTAACATTATTATTTCTGTGCAACAACTTTGTGTGGGGCTTTATAGGGTTTAAATCCTCATAGAAGAGGGTGCTTCAATTGCTGCTGCTGATTTTAAAACTATTAACTCCTGCTGCATGGCAAGCTCTGGCTTTGATCAGTGGTTGTCATACACAAAATAGTGCAACCTAGAAAACAAGAGAAGAGATTTAAAGATGAAGTTATTCTGTGCCCTTTTCTAAGTTTTTGTGCATAAGTATAAAAAATAGGGTGTCTGAAGAGAGAATATGCTACTGCTTTGGCAATTTTGTGCTGTTTCATTACTGCAGGGGGGACAGAAAGGAGAGGAACGTGATGCTAATGCTACCTGCAGCTTTGAGCTGCATTAAAACCTTTCTGATAAGATAATATAGGTAATGCATTGCACGTTTTTAGAAAGTAATTATTTTAATTGTAATTGTGGTACAGAAAAGATAATCTATGTTGTATATCATTAAAAGCATGAGAGGAACCCCCCAGAGACACCCAAAAACACTTGGTGCAAGGATGTCATATAGGTGTACTGGACTGTTCTTATGAAACCCCTCACCTGTTGAGCTTTTAAAGGTGAAAGAAATCCACATGTGTTACAGATTTAGCAAGCAGGTTTGGCTTTAGTCTTCTGTTTTACAGACGGGTTTATGACATACACTTGTTCAGAAGGTCTCCTTCAACATCCTTCCGTGCTTCAAGTAGATTCGAAAATAACGATTAAGAGCTGTGGATTTGGTTTCTTCAGGCCTGTGTTTTAATTGTGCTGTTGCCAGCTCTTTATCTTCAAAGCTGTTCCTAAAATAGAATCTGCCATCCCTCCTAGGTTCAATGGAGGAGGAGGAAAAAAACTACTCTTACCCAATATTAAACCAGGACTACTTGCCAGAAAATTTAAGTATTCCAAATATAAAACATCCTCCAAAAGCCCCTTTGAAAAAGGATCTTGCTTTGAAGTTAGATCTCTTGTTCTGAATTCATTCACTCTTGTGATTCAAATCTTATTTGAGGAACGAGTCCTGGAACGATTCAAAGGGCCAATTGCAGAATATTCTCAAATACTCCTAGGAGATCACTGGCTGTGGCAAAAAAATGTATTGTTTTTTGCTTGCTTGGTTTATTGCTATGTTGGAGTAATTTAAATCTAAAGAAGAGCGTGGATGCTTCTTTTTGACAGGCTTTAAAAGTTGGTTACTGTGTTTTGGTTTAAGAGTGTAGTTAAAATGTGACGTGTATTTTTAATACTAAAAAAAAGTACTCTGAAGTGTTGAACTTCTGTTGCGTAGCTTTGGGAAGTTTGACTGCCTAGACTTACACCAGGGCTTAGCAAGTGACTGTACATGTGCTCAGCCCCAGCAGTCTAAGTGTGTACTTTTTATCTTGTGGTAAAGGAGAGAGAATTTGACTTAGTTTAGCCTGTGGCAAAAGAAGTTTTTACACAAGTTGAGTTATATTACATTGCTGTCGGCTATTACACAGTTCAGCTAATTTGCAGTATGTTGTTAAGCTGTGGCAGCCTTATCATGTTTGATTCTGTACTCTGCAAACAGAGCACATGTGGCATTGCTTTCCTTTAGTAAAATCTACTTGGTTTTCTGTAAATATTTACTAGCCTTGGGTTAGTAGGGTGGTATACAATGTCCTGAAAGCAATTTTGAGCACATTAGGTAGAATGTTGCACTAATGCCATTTGGATTGTTTTTGACACACGGGTGAATATTTAGGTTTAGGCCAGGTGTATCTTTGTGGCAGTACAACATGTTGTAGGGGCGTGACATGATCTACACTGTCACCTTCTTGCATTGACTAAACTCAAGTTTAGTCCCTACATCGCAAGAAATGACTCAGTATTTCAGAGTCTTTTTTCTTTTTCAGAAGTAATTGGCTGATGATGCTTCAACTATATTTTCATATGCTGCATTAGTAGAAGGTGGAGTGAAGAGTTAAAAGATTCTTAATTTTCCATTAACTGAAGTTTATGGTTTTTTTGTTTCTTGTTTTGTGTCACATTTGTGTGTTAGTGAAGAAGGTGAGGAAGAAACTTTGTTTAGATCTTCTTAGTGATATTTGCTAACTTGGAATGTAGAAGAATGTTTCTTCCATTATGATACCATCAAGTAAACTAGCTTCTGTCTTAAAATTATATAATCATTAATCATTACTTTTTAAATGTTCTTAAAGGCTTTTGAGGAAAAAATGCCTATGTGTGTTTTTTAGTATAATACCCTGCATTAACTAATTCATTAAAATTATTTGGACATTTTGTCTCTGGATGTTGGTTGTATTCAGTCTGTCTTAATTTTGTTTGAATGGATCTCAAGTGAAATTTTTCATTTGGCTTTTAATCTTATGGTGAGATTTTTATTTGTATTTTTGCACATGATAAAATTCTGAGGAACATATTAATTGTTTAATCAGTATATCTTCCTTTTTGTAAAGAGTATTAACTGATGGCTATCCAGGCAATTCTGTGCATAGTGCTGAGAGCCATGTTCAGTGCTAACAATATACTGGTTTTAGTGCAGCAATTGGAATTTTTTTAAGTGTAAGTAGAGCTAATTAATTAATTAGTTTGAGAGAACTTCTGGTATTTTTCTAGTTTATGTTCTTAACATTGTTGTTAAGAGGGTTTTTTTTATATTTTTATATATATATTTTCTATGTTGTAGGCTCATGAAGAATCTATTAAGATGGACAATTAACCAAAAAAGATGAATAGAAAATACTTCAGCTGTGCAACAATTTGAGTTCCCAGTCTTCCTTTCCTTTCAGAAATTTTCATTAGGAGTGTTTGGTCTTTTAAATGTTACACAGTCAAACTTTTTACAGTGTGATTTCCACTGTCCTTAACAACAATAGTGCACATTGGAAAGCTTGTGTGCCGGTGAAGAGAAAATGGCTCATGTAGTTTAGAAATTTGTCTTTTTGGGTTCACTGTCTCCTGATTTGCATTTTGGCTGAGAGATTAGATTTTAAATCTTCAGGATTGGACAGCAACCTCGGTTTTGTTTCACAGTTTGTTTAATCCTATAGGACTAATACTGGTAAGAATTCATGTCAGTGAAATCACCAGCAAGTAGTGAATATTGATATTGATTACTCTTCCTCATCTTGCATATTCCTTCATTCTGCCCTTCTGCCAAGGCAATTTGGGAGCAGTTGGCATTTCTAGACATTATAATATGTAGACATAGTTAAACATTGCTGCCATATGATAGTCTTTTAGTTCTAATGTTGAACTAATGATATATACATAAAATTAATCATGCACTTGCCAGTACATCTAGGATATTCTCTGAATTATGAAGTCTGGAACTTGAATGAGATGGGTTTTATTTTAAGTGGGTCCGGTTGCTGTTCTATGTGGATGTTTATGCAGTTATGGCAAAACTGGTGAAAGCACTTGGCAAAGTTTTCTGTTCTTTCCCCCCTCAAAGTCTTGCAGTGACCAGTCGGATTGAAAGTACTTATTTATTAATGGAAGTAGAGTTGCTCATAACTGAAAGAGGTTTATACCTGGTAGAGTAGTCTATTTTCTGACAATATTCTTTTAGCCCTGTTTATTATTTTCATGTAACAGTGTTTTGTGTGTTCAGTTGAGGTAAAGCTAGTTCTTTGCAAAGTATGAGAGGATTAATGTCCTTTAAAGTGTATGAATGATTTTTACCTTGTAATCATTCCTTTCCTAATTAAATAAGATAGGTTTATATGTTGAGGCAGTACATTTTGTTAGGACAGCTGATACAGTTGGGAACAATTTCTCAGCTTCTCAAATTTGTAAGAGCTAAGCTAGGTCTGAAAAACCAGAAAAGTTAGAACAGTTTTTGAATGTGTTGGTATTAAAGGATGCTCCTTTCTCAGATATTTACAAGAAAATAGAGTACCAAACAATTTTTTTTTTTTCCCTCCAAGTAGCAACTTTAATTGCAGTGTGGCGTAGCATTGACTGAAAAGTCTGTAATGCTTACTGTTGCTAGAATATTTTAGACCTAATATAATATAATATAGACCTACTGTTTCCTGTACTAAGCTATGAAAGGGTCAAGGCCAGTTGCCTTTCCTTTCATCCAGTCATGGAATATAAAATAAAGCAGAGAGATTCTATGGGATGTTACTTTCCTTCTGGATACTAAACATTTAGGGTTATGGATTTAATTCTAATCTTGAGACCCAGAGTCATTCTTCATTATTTTTGTCCCTAATTAAATAAGATCCTGAAGAATAGGAATTTAAATAAAAAGCCAGATTTCACAAGGCTTGCATAAAATCTTAACAATTGGTATTAATGTGAGATCTTGATCTGAGGACACAGAAAATAAGTTATCATTCTTCTTGATCATGTATGTGGTGATAGCTCAATCTGATTTTAGATCTACAGATAATAAACATAAACTATTACTATAACTGATGTATTATTTGTTGTCTTTTTAGGTATACCAATAACAGTGCCACCGCCAGGTAAACTTGCTTAGAATTTTTTTCCACATTTGGTTAAGAAATGAAAACTTAACTGACATGCAACTTACCAACTTTATTTTAGCTATATAGGTAGTACAAAAGTATATGTATAGATGTAGGCTCAGTTATTTTGATGCTAGGCAGAAAAGAAAATGTATGAAAATGCTGTTGACTATCAGACCTAATCAGCCAGTTTCTTAGATGTGTGCTTCCTTCTTTTCTTTCCATTCTTTTTTTCAGCTATGCAAAAAATAGTTGTGATCATTGTTTATTAAGTATTGGTAGATACTCAGGAATTTTCCTATGCTTCTAAATTATTGTATTTGAAAGAGTGCTAAGGTATTTGATTTGAAGCATTGATGTTTAATACTCTGCCTTTGTTAAGCTGGAAAGTAGTTCTTAGTCTTACAAAATAAAACCCATTTACACAGTGAGAAACAATTCATGTTGTACTCTCAGCAATTTGTTTGCCATTGTATGCTTAGCCTAGTTCTTTTATGTGTTTATGGTTTGTGGTTTTTTTTTTCCTTTTCCCTCTCCTCAATTTATTATTACAGGCTTTCCACCACCACCTGGCGGTCCTCCACCTTCCCTCATACCCACAATAGAAAGGTGATTATCTGTTTGAAATCTTATAAAGCAATATATCGGTATTCTGTAACTGAAATAAATTAGTAAGGATTGTCACATTACCCAGTGTTTTATGGATTTTATCTGGGAGTGGGAAGATGGTTTCAGATTTTTACAGCATTTTTACAGAAATGTTACTAGTCTCACCTGTCTGACACTTAATATTCTTTTGAGTAGGTTACTTGACCACTTGTTAGTTTAGTTATGACACTATATCAATGCCAAGACTTAAGAACAAAGTCAAGGTAATGATTGTTAAAGTATTCTTTAGTAGTCTGAAGGCTTAAGTGAACCATATACTTGTCATCTACCGTATCCTTTTCTATAAATGCAAATAAACAATTTTGCTACAGATCCAAGCCCTCATAACCTATAGGAAATGCCAGAGTTCCACCTAATCCAAATTTGTATTTCTACTGTGTTTGTTCTAAGTGTTCAGCTTTAATAGGCCTAATAGGTTTTTTTCAATACCTTTTTTATATACATGTGTATATATATATAAAAAGTATATGTGTGTATATACATTTTT